AGAGTATTAAAGTGCACTGAAATAAAATGAAACATAATACACAATATTCAGAGAAACTAAAAACAAATTAAACATTAGGAAAAAACATATAAATAAAACCAATTTCTAAAATTATAAATAAAACAAGAGAAACCATAACTGTTCAAAAAAAATAAAACTAATTTATTGGGAGAAACAAAATTGAATTAATGTTTACATGTCTTGGTGATGGTGAGAATGAAAAAAAAAAAAAAAAAAAAGAGCCAAGTTGGAGGTTCTGTTTCCAACCAGGTTACCTTCTACGATGTTTAGCTTTCAAAGCAGTCGATGGTGTGGGAATCGATATGTATATCGATCTCGATCGATGACTCGGAATGGTATATACAGCTGGGATCTTCAAAATGGCGCAGGTGAGATGAAGATGAGACGAGACGAACCTGGAGCTGGTGAAAATGGTGGGGGTAGACGTCCAACACAAACGAAAGATAGCTCCAGATTGACTTTCCGGCAGTATTATGGCATTATTTTGTTGTCTTAATCCCTAAGACTGGATATTACTGCCGAGCTGATGTCTATATACAACGAAATAATACATCGCAAAATAAACCTAAATATATAAATCCTATAAACTTAAATACATTTCTGATACAATTGTCCCTCAGTTTTATACCAAAAAAATTAATCAACCTTTTATTATTAACACTTAAAAAGAAGTGTACGGTGAGAAAAAAAATAAAGATCTGAGCGTATGTGGCGTTAACAATAAGTGCCTATTGACCGTATACTCGACCAAATTGCCCTTAAAAAGGAAATAATAATAATAATAAAAAAAAAAATGAATATAAAATAAAAATCTTATTCATTTGAGAACTTATTAAGAAAAAAACAGCATTAAATTTTGATTTCAAGCCTTTGCTTTTTATTCATTAAAACAGATATTCCATGGGCTATCTCGAAACAAAAATTTTGAACTTGTGAACTTGATAAATATAAAAGAAGGCAGTAAGCATCCTCTTGGACATAGCTTCAACTAGTAGATGGCTATTAATACCTTGTGGAGCTATCTGGGAAATGTTGTCTTTTTGGACAGAAGAGATGGCTGATGTGCTAATAAATCAAGGGCCTGGAAGCTGTTGGGCCGGCAGTATATCTTCTGGGAGGGGGGGGGGAGGGAGGAACCCAACAGATCCCTGCGCTGATCTCATCCAATGCCCCAATATGTCTCCGTACTTCTCTTAGCCTTCCGCCCTGTTTGCCATTTGCCGTTTTTAGAAATCCTATCGAGTAGAGAATTTTAATTATTCCTGAAGTTATGACAACTGCCGTAAACTTAAGTATTAAAAAAATCCATTTTTAAATATTTTTATTAATGGTTCTGAGCTATTACTTAAATTGAACGAACATTTAATATGAAAGAACGAAAAATAAAAATAATTGTTATTATAAAAACGAACGATTCAAGAAATAAAACCTAAAGCCTCTAAAAAAATTAGAAAATGACCAGTTAACTTTTTACCGTTGTGGAATACCTGCGGAGTTAAACCGGAGCATTTGAAATACTTTTTATTGACTGACCTGTTCAAGTAATCGAATCACACTTCTTCTTAGTGTTTTCCTTTTCCAATTTCTCAGAACCAAAAATGTTCCCTACATCCTACAACTCTTTACTCTACGTACCTATTATCTATTCTCTTAATACCAAGCAAGAAGTTGATGATATTTCTTAAAAAAATTTCTTCCTGATGAAGCTCGCTTTCAGATATCTCGTGTTAGGGTAAGCGCCCCAGTTGTGAACATAGCAAAGGAAATTTGGTCTTTTTTGGCTTATGCCAACTATAATTATTATAGTTATAAGCTTCTCTGTTGAACATACAGAATCCCTAGGTTCTCTTTTTTTCTATTTAATACTAAAATTGAAAAACATATATAGTTATGCAGGGATACTTTATTTATTTATTTAACCATTAAAAAAAACAACACCTTTTTGCACTAGTGATGGACAGCCCAAAATTCAATTGTTCTAATAATGGACAGGGGTCGGGACCAGTAAGGACTTACCTCATAAATATTTTAAAATTATTTATTTAACTATAAAGATAAGATAACATAAATGTACAACTTTTTCTTAGCAAAACTGTTTGTAGGAAGATATGAAACACACTGATCTCAAGAGCACTCTAGAAACTACAATGATAGGCATTCTAAAATTTTCTTTTGACAACTTTGTTCATACCAGTTGTCAATAGAAGTCATTGTTCTTCAATCTAGATAAAACTGGAACCTTTAAATCAACAAGGTAGCCTATTATTTACATTTAAATTTCAACCTGTCCATCACTGGGTCCTCTGTCCATAACTGAAGCGTTCACCATATGTTAATAAAAAAAATAATTGCATTGAGCATGAGAAAAATCCTCTCGTGGTACACAAGACACCATTGCATGCCCAAAACGTTATTATGTGCCGCGCATTATTTCAAATCTCGATGGCCTAAGCCGGCACTAGAACATGCGATTTGACGCCATTGGATTTATTCTTACGGATTTTCTGAAGAATCGCGTCTATATTAACAAACTTGGAACGTTGAATCACCTAAAAACTAGCATCCGCCAAGTTATAACTGATATAACCCCCTAAACTTGCTAAATAGTCATCGAAAATTACCTCGAACGAATTAACTGCAGTAAAACGTCCAAAGGCGGCGATTTAGATATAATTTTTCATTTTTAATGAATTATACTAAATAATAGATTAATAAAAATATAACTAAGATAATATTATAGTATTCTGTGTTGTTGTTTTTTAATTAAAGTTAAGATATTCAATTTGAATCACCCGAAATAATGATAGACCCTCTGTATTTCTATGTTTAAGGAAATTAAAAGATCTTTATGATATTTTATTCTTCTTTTATGATCTGTATTATATTTTATTCTTCTTTTATGATCTTTATTATATTTTATTATAAATATCTTTAAGATATTTATTTCGACTTTATATAATATACGAACTGCAAATATTATCTGATCAGTTTTTATTGAATTATCTAACTTACTAACCTTAACGATCCTCTGATTTTTTCTCGTCAAACTATGCCCAGTTGTTGATTAAGATATTGTTTTATTAATGAAAAACTATTGAAGTATTTATCTACAAAAATCATATTTACTACTCCAGTTTTGGTCAGCTATAATATAACTCGGATTATTCGTATATATTCACGACAAAATCATATCCATTTAAGCGGGGTAGCCGGTTAATTCGGAGTGTGTAAGTGAAAAAAAATTAAAAGTTTCATGCTTATTTTTCAAGTAGAGACATATTTTAGTATAAACAACATATATTAATTTTTATTCAGAAATTTGTTTATAGTATGTATTTCTCGTATTTTTGTTTCTAAGGAGCTCTCGTTCATCCGGTTTATTTTTTCTAATGTTTTATTTACTTTTTTTTTTCGATCATTGGTAAGACGGCTGCTGCCTGCGTATTTTAAAAGTTGAGCGAAATAAAAAAAAACATTAACTTTTGTCGATTTTATTATTTGAATATTCATAGTGTGTGTGTGTGTGTGTGTGTGTGTGTGTGTGCGTGCTTTGTGTGAGTCTGTGTATGATGAAAGGGTAAGAGGGTCAGAAGGTCACCCACCCCAACGTCCCTTCTATTCTATTCTATTTTTCCGCCCCACTTCATCATTCATCATGGGTTAGAGACCTTCTGATCAACCGGTTCGTCACGTATATTATAAGAGATATAGAATTGATCATAAAATTACGTATGATATTCTTCAGATCTCGAAATAATTGACACTTCCCTTATCGATAATCCTAATTAAAGATATTACTCGAAATTTTTTTAGAAAATTTTCTCTTTATTTTCCATGCTACCTCGCCTTTATAGATTTGACGAGGATTTTTTTCGGGCCAGGAATAAGGGCGGGGGATGAATGCTAGAATTCTAGCATTAATACTAGAGAAAGGTCACTCCAGAACCGGGATGTGAACTCGCAATTATTGTATATCTGCAAACTTCAAAAGATGAATCATCAGGGGGGGGGGGAAGCCAGTGTTTTGCAATTTTATTTACGAAAATTCTCGAAATTATGGAGTTTTCAATCTGGAGATGGGTAAACTTTGTATATTTAATTATGTAGTATAAACTCTAAAATACCCATTTGCTTTACACTTGAATCGTAAGATTATTTGATCTCAAAATCAATAAAAAAGATGGCCTACAAAAATATTGGCCCATTTGGCCTATATAACCTCGTCATTTTGACCATTTAGGGGTTTAGGTCACGCCAAACGGCTTGATATTTATGAAGACCACATTTTCATGGCTCGGTCACTCCGCCCATTCAAAATTGTATTATTAATTAATAAAAATGAAAAAATATTAATTGTTCTGAGGACAATCTTTTTAATTACGTGAATCTATGTGATGGGGGCCATGAACTCCTATTGTATGTACCCATATTCCTAAAGAACTTTTTGTTCTTCGTTTACTAGAAACTAATTTTCCTTTATAAATTTATGTTGACCGTGCATTCTCTAAAGGGAGCGATGTAGCTCAGTGGTAGGGCACTCAGTTTCCAACGCTCATCAAGTTCCCAGGTTTGAATCACGGCTCATGGCAAAAAATATTTATTCTGTTTCATCCGCCGTGGGGCGAACCTGGGGTAAGGAGACCCTCCTGGGGTGTACCCAGCCTCTACAAAGAGCGTACCTTTAATAAAAATAATTAACCTGGCGATTGAGCGTGATCCTTGCCCGATCTCCTCACCGCTCAACCGTTGGCTTTGAAACAGTACTTACCCTAAATAGTACTGAATCCAAGACCCTTCATGGGTTGTAAATGGTACAGTTTTTTTTTTTTTTTGTTCATTCTCCAGAACCCTTGTTGATACGTGAGAGGGCATAGGCTGTTACATCCCCTTAAAGTACTTAAACCCTTGGGAAAATCACTTGTAGTTTATTCTTTAAATTACAATGATGCTGTGATACAATGATATACAAACAGTCTGGCTCAAAGATTCCTCCGCCGTGGGGTCATTGAGTGAGCTAGGATATCTGGCGGTTTTCCTAGGGCTATAGATAGCTTGGCCCACGGGTCGGTTGTGGCGTCACAGATGGGGTTATTAGGGTCAGAGTCGGGATCCATTTTGGCACCTTGGGCAGCCTCAACAGGAAATAATATGCTTGCTGTTAACTTTTTTTTAAATTTAAGTAAATTGTTAACTACAATATGGAATGCGTCCTGAAAATATAACTTAATTTTTTGACTTAGATCATGTTAATTTGTGTTACACGAACCAACAGGTAAACGTCTGATATTTAGACCAAGACGTAAATGTGAGATGTACATGTCACGCTGACCAAGTGGATTTGGTTTTTGATGTTAGTTGGCGATGTTGGGCTGAGTTGTATAAGCAACGATCTTTGGTTGTATGGGTATTGATTCTTTATGGTTATTGCATTTTGTAAAAGATCAGGAGCGTAGCAAGTGGAAAACTGCTATTTCTAAAGATTGTTTGAATTTAATTTTTTTTTTAATTTGAACTATTGTATTTGGAACGAATTTATTGTTCCAATTTTAGATGATTTTAGTGATATTCTGTTGCTATAAATAACTGATTTTTTTTTCGACTTTAGTAAAATAATTTTAAAGAACAAAATGTGGTTTTTATTTGATATATGAATAGTTTAGAAAACAAAAATTAAACGAACAAAGAATAAAAGATGAAATACTATTATCTTGTACCGAATCAACCATGTGCCACTAAAATATATACGGTTCAATTAAATACTAGAAGAATACGATAATAAATAGTATTTACGAAAGAAAAACTTGTCAAATTCGTTTTGTTTTTTCTGTTTTGATTTACTATAGTTGTCATCATAAAGTGCTATTTATTTACCTCTTTACCTTTTTTATTCAATTTGGAGTACGGATATTTCTTATTGGCCATTTTAATCAATGCACTAGTTAGCTTATATTTTCGCCACAATAGATTTTTTCATAAGCTATTTCAGTTTTACTGAGCTTTGATAAGCAACAAATTTGATGGAAAGCGGGAACAAGAAGAACCATAGATTCTTAAAAATGTAGAAAGGCGAGAAATACATTTTAAAACAAATTTTTGAATACTTATTAATATTAATTAATTGCTTATTTAGTCCGCGGTACGTCTGTATCCTCTCTATCAAATTATTAACATCCGCCGGATACTATGTAAATAGATTCATCCCATCGTTACCTAAAAATATTTTATTTACGAAAATTCTCGGAATTGGGTAGTTTTCAATCTGTAGATTGGCAAACTTTGTATATTTAATTAGGTACTAAAAACTCTTAAATACCCATTTGCTTTACACTTGAATGGTAAGATAATTTGGTCTCGAAATCGATAAAAAGGGTGGCCTACAAAAATATTGAGCCGTTGTCCTATATAACCTCGTTATTTTGAAAATTTGGGGTCAAATGATTTTTGACAAATGATTCGGTCACGCCAAACGGCTTAATATTTATGAAGCCCACATTTTTTCTGGATTTTGTGCTCAAATTATCTTACGATCCTAGTGGGAAAGCAAATGGGTATTTACGAGGTTTTAGTACCTAATTAAATAGACAAAGTTTGTCGACCTCCACATTGAAAACGTCCCAATTCCGAGGATTTTCGTAAATGAAATATTTGTAGCTATTTTACGATGTTTTACGCGGATGTTAATAATTTAAAGAAAAGGGGTCTGTACCACGAACTAATATATACAACTGTACATTTTTTTTGGCCTGTTTGTTAAAGTACACAATCGAGAAACTTTAACGAGGATCTTTCACATAAATAAGCGTGTAACTTTTGCATTTGCTTAAATATGTAAAAATATCCACGTACTCTAGAAAACAATGAGTTATTTTTTCTCCCAAACATATTACAAAATAATGTCTCAAATACTATTCAATATCTTTATTTAAATCCATCTTCTGTCTTTCTCTTCCTTCTCTTTTCAGCTAAATATAGTTTTTTTTTCTGATTGGGAAAAATTACATAGCTAATCAACAGCCAAGCTATTAAGTTGAATTTATTTGAGCTTTTATTAATAGGTCTCGATCAATTCCAAGAAATTAAGGTAATATTTCAAAGTATAGGCTACCAGGCAATAAAATACAATTTACAATAGCATATATCTCACAATGATATATGCTTATAGATACTCATTTATATTCATGATAATTGGAGTGCTCCCAATACGCATGGGCTTTCTCGCATTTCGCGGTATTGCACTATATATTGTATTTGCAGATAGATGTAATGGTATTGAAAACTGTTCTCATTTTATTTACGATAACGAATAAAAAGATATAATATCAGAATTCGTTTATTTTAAGAGATTGTTGCCATCACCTCGTGGCTGATTGATTCCGAATTTTTTTTTCTAGTTTTATTTTCAAAACGATTCTTGTATATAACAGTAATAAACTAAAACAAATTAATCAATTCAAATATGATATTTCACGTTTGGCATTTAGCAATTGAAAAGTTCAGAGGAAAAACAATAAAACTATATTTTTTACGATTTTTCGATTGTTATGTTGCCTTGCAGTCGAGATAAAGTAGAATCGAACTGTTTAAACCAGGTGTCTCACACATTGAGATCTCAACTAAATCCCGCGGGCCGCATTGTGACAGCCAATAAGTTCCGCGGGTCATGGATTGTGGTGAAGAAAAAAAAATTGTATTCTATAAATGACACTTCAGTTGTGATATGAGCTTTCTAACAGAAATAACTCATGCAATAAATGTTGTAGAAACTTCGTGTGTGAGCAATGAGCTAAATTTTGTATTAATGTAATAATGTTTAAAATTTGACCGCTTGAATAAAGAAGCTTTTGTAAGCCGGATTGGAGGGTCTGGCGGATCTAGCCCGCAGGTTGTAGTTTGGAGAGTCCGGATTTGAACCATAGGTGGGGAACCTGCTTCTACTAGGCCGCATGTGGCCTCTGCGACGTAGTTGCGTCCTCCAAACATTTTTCCGTGATATTTATTAATTTAGAGTCGTAATTAATTAATATTTAGTTATTTAATTTAAAAAAAAGTAATTGATAGAATTCAAACCATTAACATCCGCCTGAAACTTCGTAAATAGTTTCATCACATAGTAACCTACAAATATTTTATTTACGAAAAATCTCGGAATTGGGCGTTTTCAATCTTGAGATCGTCAAACTTTGTATATTTAATTTTTTTTTTTTATTTATTCAGGAATATTACAATCTGTCACAATTAAGGACATTTATAATAGTGTTCAGAGAGCACATTCATATTGTTATATTTAATGAGGTACTAAAACCTCGTAAATACCCATTGGCATTCGACTTAGATCGTGAGATAATTTGATCATAAAATCGATAAAAAGGGTTGCATACAAAAATATTGGTCTGTTTGGCCTATATAATCTCGTTATTTTGACAATTTGGGAGAGTAGATCCTGATAAACGGATCAATGTTTTTGAAGGCCACGTTTTTTCTCGACTTCGCCCTCCATTTTTTTTACAATTTAATTATAAAGTGGAAAGCATATGGGTATTTACGAGGTTTTAGTACCTAATGAAATAGACAATGTTTTCCTGACCTGCACATTAAAAACGATCCAATTCGAAGAATTTTCTTAAATGAAATATCTGTAGGTTACGATGAGATGAAGTTATTTACGATGTTTCAGGCGGGTGTTAATAATTTAATGAAAAGGGGTCTGTACCATGGACTGATAATAATATATATAACTGTACATTTTTACTTACCGACCTATACTAGGTAAGGAAAGTATTGCAATCGAGTCAAATTTCCGACATACGGTTTTTGACGGATCTATACGTTTCACAGCCCCCAGAGTCCGAAAAACACATTTTTAGCCATTGGTCTATCTGTCTGTCGGTCTGTGCCAAGATTTTCTCGGGAACTACTGAACCGCTTTTTTGTTTCTTCTTTTTTTATTTTGTAGGGTTGTGACTACTGATGGCTGTAACAGAAATTGAGCGCAATAAATGAAAAACATGGTTTTCTATATACTGTAGCGCAAAAACAGCTCTAACGATTTTGATGAAACTTTCCTATAATGTTCTAATTATTGTTCTTTCAATTTTCGTATATAGACCAAAGTCCCCAAAAATTTCAGGAAAAAAAGTTATAAAGAAACGAAAAATGTTATAGGACCTAACTCCCTAAGTATATATTATACGGTAAAATTTATAATAAAACTTTTGAAAGGTAATGAAATTACTAACAAAACAAAAAAAAAAGATCATCGGAATCGAACTAGTATTAGCGATGATACAGCTTATTCTATTTTTTACGCTTTTTTTTTAACTTATTACTTTCCTACCTATACTAGGTAAGGAAAGTATTGCAATCGGGTCGAATTTCCGACTTACGGTTTTCGACGGATCTATACGTTTCACAACCCCCTGAGTCCGAAAAACACATTAGCCTGTCGTTTGAAAGGTAGTGAAATTCCCTACAAAGCCATATAAAAATCGTTCATTTTGGACAACTATTAACGAAGTTACAGCTATTCAATTTCCAAAGTAAGATTATAGTTTCATATCCTGGTATCAGAAAGGGGTGAATGAGAGAATAAAGATGACTCAGTAAAAGTAAGAAAATCTGTTGCCCGCATCACACAACCTTTACTATTTCCTATACTTTCAACAGAAATTACTGTTTGTCATTACTAAGCTATGCCAAAAAGCTTTTAATAACTTTTGCATTTGCACCAATTTTTTTACAATTCAAGTGGAACGCAAATGGGTATTTACGAGGTTTTAGTACCTAATTAAATATACAACGTTTGCTAACCTCCAGATTGAAAACACCCCAATTCAGAGAATTTACGTAAATAAAATATTTGTATGTTACGATGAGATGAAGCTATTTACGAAGTTTTAAGCGGATGTTAATAATTTGATAAAAAGGAGTCTGTACCATGGACTATTTGTATGTGAGTGATATATTAGCACGAAAAGTTACATGCCGGTGACTATGACGAAAACTACCAATATGTGGATATTATTCCATACAAAGAAAATAATCTTTGAAAAATTGTTGATTTTTGTGAGGAAAAACAGTATATATCCTATCCTTTTTTTTTTACTTTCAACTTTTTATTGAAAAACTAATGTATATTTTAAAATAATATTTTTATTCCTTTTTTTTTTTTTTTACTAATTTTTCTCAAATAAAACATAATGAAGTTAAACGTGTTTTTTGCTCTCCTAAAAAAACATTCAAAAGTGGAGTTTTACCTCCTTCAATCGGTTCAGCAATTGTTACACGTGTTTAATGGGAAATTTTCATTTAGTTCCCATACATTGAAGACAATTCTTCAAAAACAAATTAATTAACAAATCAAGTCTAATTCCCCCAGTGTTATAAATGGACATAATCACGTTTATCATTGAGAATTCGAAATAACAAGTTGAATTAGGAATAACTCATCCAGTTTATTATAATCCGATTCTCACGGAAAAATAAGCTCTCGTGACTAAAAGAAAATTATTATTGATAGGGTACTTATATATAGTTTTCTCTATAATTCTATCATTTATTTAAAATATATTATATGTTTTATTTAAAGGGAAATTTAGGAAACATGTTAAGATCTAGTAAAACGAGGGCCGATAAGAAGAAAGCCACCTGAAACACTTTAGTGTGAGGTTATTAGACCGCTTTCAGACACCAGTAACTCTTTTCGGCCAGGTTATTCTGCTGAGACTACGGTGAGGTTTATAAAAGTTGTGCAATTTCACCCTCGCAAAACATCCTATCATAGCAGGATAATGAAATGTAAATCATTACCTTCAAAGAACTTCATGCGTTATTGTTGTTACGGAATTATTTCTTAAAGCGTGAAAATTGTTGACCATATCTCCAATTTTAGGAAAGTTATTCGTGGACCTTTGTCAAAATTCACAATCGAAATACTAATTATATTTGTTAGTTAATGACGTATCGAACAACAGGCCTGAGGATTAAAATGAACAATATGTAGAATGCTGGTGCGCGCTTAACAAGACTTTCCATTATCACTCTCTTCTTAGCAGAAATAAATATTTTCAGACCAAAGGAAAGAGAAAGTAAAAATTATAAACTCTATGTTTATTTAAATTTCATTGTGGATATTTATATTTGTTTAAATACCTTTACACATACTAATTTATATTTGATATCGTTGTAACCTATACAATTAAATATTAAATAAAACCAATGATAGCATTTATGAAAACCGCATATGTGTATAATATTGTCGGAGTCGATATTATATTTAGCTCATGTTAATATAAAGCTTGTCTTAATCTTTCGGGCGAGCTCGGGAGCCCTTGAATTCCTTTGGTTTTTCTATTACAACTATTATCCGTTACCATTTCTTATTTCTCCTCTAGTTAATTATCAAATTCTTTCATATTTTATATTTAACTATTTTTATATCAATGATTAATGTGGAATGGTTAATTATTTAAAATAAAACAAATTAAAGGTGGTTTAGATGAAGCTAATATTGAAAATTAGCCATTTAAGCTCTGTTAGAGGACATCAATGAGAATGAAACTGCGTTATATTAAAAACTGCTTAATTTTACACTGATATGGCGAGTTTGATGAATATCGTTAGAGCCGTTTTCGAGAAAATTATAAAAATGCGAAAAGCTGATTTTGACGAAAAATTACTGTAACATCTCAGGTATATACAATCCTTAAATATGCAATTTCACTTTCATACGACTTTTTGTTTTTTAGCTAGACTGTTTACATAAATACACTTGGTTATTTGGACTCAGAAGACCTCAAAACATGTATTTCCGTTGCAAACTCAAATTAAAACATTTTCACCATCGCAATACTGTCCCTTACTATATATTTCATATATAGATAAGTGAAAGTAAAAATGTAAAGTTAAAAAATAAAAATTTAATTTGTATAAGAAACAAAAAATTGAATGTATTTAGTACTAAACAATTAAATTAATACAAGATAATAGTTACAGGATACAAATCTAAAGCAAGAAGAATGACAAGCAAGAAATTAAATTATTATGAACGGGGTAAATTAAACGACATAATAAGTTGAAACATCCCAGGAGTGTCACTAGATAAATTAGGCTGTCGAACAAAAGTATCGGTACAACTGTTCGCTCAAAAAATCATTACTCATTTTTTAGCGGCTTACCCAAACACATAACACTTCTTGCAGCCTCGGTGATGGTTGGTAATTACATTTATTTTTTTCGTTTTATTACTTGTCGGCCAACTCTGTTGTTCCGAAATCCTCAAATCTAGCAGTTATGTGTGATGTCCTGCAACTATTGATTATATATAATGTCTAAAACTAAAGGCTGCAGGAATTACGATTTATTGTTTGTTCTGACATCCAACCATGTATAATAATTTCTAGCAGCTGTAAATTATTTAAATAGCTTGTTAAAATATTATTTGATATTTAATAAAATGGGATACTCCTTGTTATAATTTTTGTTTCAGAACAGAATAAGAAACAACTGAATAAATAATGCATATTAGAAATTAAGATGGAGTCTGTTTCATTATCATTAACAAAGTTAATAATGTACAGATCTCTTTTGTGCAAACTAAAGTGATGGTAAAAGAAGTTTTTTATTTGTTTTTTTTTCTACGACAGTGAAAATCCATTAGTCATTATTTAGTAGGGAACCTTTTCTTTCCTTGCTACTAATTTTTTGTTGGTGCAATTTTCGAATTATATCTCCCATGAAATAGTTCATCTTACAATTAGCTTTAATATTAAATAAGAAGGTTATTTATTCATTGTTAGGCTCAAATGATAAATATATTGAGCACATACTATTAAAAAAGAAGTTTTCGCTAGTATCTTTTGGAAGGTTATATGGAAGTCTGGAATCCATTTTAATTAAACAACATTCATGCATTTATAAAGAACGCAATTATTCCTGGTGTTTCGTTGATAGCCGATGTAAATATTGTTTTAGGTGAAGAATAGGAAAAGAGAAGGTAAATTGGATTGGATAATTGAAAAATAACAAAAAACAATTTAAAGTATATTTCATGTAGTGTAGTAGTTATGGTGGTTTTATCCTATAGCCACATCAGCTAAAACCACCGGCGAATTCCCAGACGATTAACTATTCATTACACTGTCCCACCCTCAAGTGATGGAGTCACAAAAACCGATCTTGGGTTTCACACGCCAGTAGAGGTATCAGGTCTAGTGAATTCATGGGTGATACATCTTTCATAAAGTCGACGAAGAAATTAATGGAGTAGGGAGGGTCAGGATTGAAAATAACGGTATATAAAGGTTGTTCTTCGTCGTTGAGTAGGTGGGCTGGTTTGAGTGTGTCTATTGGTACAGCAGATTTTCGATCGCCAATCAGAATCTTGTCGCTTCAGTAGAGGATTTTATGAGGTCCGGAGTAAAACAAGAGTGGAATAAGGGATATTCGAACAGCATCCTTCCTTGTGTACATGTCGAAAAGTTCTTACGTTTGAAGGTCTTAAGACGAACACGTCTTATGCCAAGTCTTGTTTGAGCTGCTGGAGGGCAACGTTTGGTTCTTGATGAGGTAGAGCTTCTTCGAAGAATTTCCCGGGAAGTCTGAAAGGATCTTCACATAATCATCCAGCGACACTGCCACCCATGTCTTCACGGAAAGATGATCGTAATCCGAAAGATTTGTAACCATCTATCTGTATGAAGATATTGCCATTAATAGTGGCTTTACTGTGTCATCTCTTGACGCAACGATTGACTTGAGGATGGTAAGCGTTGATGCTCTTCTTTTCGACTCCAAGAATAACAGTCAACCTGTGGGATACATCTGCTCGAAATGGCGTCCTTGGTCAGTTTATGTCTTGATCGGAGTATCAAAATGCGATATCAAGTGATTGTAAAACACTTCTGAGATAATAGTTGTAGTTTTGTCCTCTAAAGGATTAACTTCTGCTCTATTCACTAACGCCCAGAAATAAGGTTTGCTTAAAGATGTGGAGAAGAGTCCTGTCAGAACCAAGTGAACATGTTGAAATATTCCTGCAGATTGCTATGTTGGTATATCTGATGGGCTAACAATATGGCGTTGGACTTCATCATGCTGGCATCAGATAAAACAAACGAAACTTTTGCCACTATATTGGCCTTTTTTTGCATTTTCCATTCATTATCATGACATATGATATTTCTAGGCAAACATATATATAACCGCAATATTCCTATACAGGTATTTGTACACAGAAATATTTATCTATGTATATACTAATTTATTTATAATCGTTATCATTTTGTACATCCAACATAAGCAAGATTAGGCATTTTCTTTTATGGTCTTGTAAATTTATCTCACCTTTTTTTAATCTAAAGTCATTATTTTTTATTACTATTTTTATTAATTATTTATATTTCTTATTACAATCGATTTTTTTTTAATTGTTTATATTTATTTTATAGTTTCGAATTTCAATTATGAAATAAAATTAGAGAATAGAAATGTCAATCGATCTTGTATTAGAAAAGGTGAATGTAACAAAAAAATGACCTTACTAACTATTGTTTGTTATTTATTTCATCAAATATTGATGATGAAAAAACAAATAATATTTTCAAAAAATTCTCGTACAAAACAGTAAAAGGATAGGCCGAGAAAAATATTTTCGACTCATAGTATCTGAAGACCCAAGTTTGGATTCTGTGATACTAGTGAACATTTGAAATGAAGTAGCATTTCTTCTTGAACTAGTTTCAGCTTTGAATATTGTTATGTTATCAAAATGGATTTAGCTAAATGAAGTCTATGATTGGTTTCCATTTCCAATCAATGCATAGGTTAGATTAGGTTTCGAGTTACCAATCATTGTGTATACAAAACATTCATAGTCCAGGAGTAATTAATGTAGCCATTACACGCATACGCCAATTATCGGAATATGCGCTTGAAGTTGTCAAAATTTGAAAAAAATTAAGAGATTTTTATAGAAACATTTCTAGAATAAAAATTACAGTTGTGTTTCATCTGACCGCGAGACCTCTGGGAGAGGAAATACTTATGTACAATTTTTGTATTATTATAATCAACTTCTATTAATTTTCAAATTTTCATAACCAAAATAATTATATATTAATAAGTTCTAGGTCTAGATTAAATGTTTGAAGGCCACAAATACGCCACGAAGACCAAATGCGGCCTAAAGACCGCAGGTTTCATCTATATAATATACTGTTCAAAGATTATGTTCTAAAAACCATTGTTCTGGGTATTTCTGGCTGTACAATTATAGCTTATGAATTTGTAAACTTTTTTCAAAAGAGTTCTCTTTTTTCAAGGTTCTGCTCCTTAAGCTAAAGTTTGTTTTAGTATTTATATATTTCTTAAGGTCTATGTGTGTCTAGTAAACGCATCTGTGATATGTGGGGTTGTTTAAGTTCATGTCGTTTAAATGTGGTAAGAGTAATTCAAGTCTGCCAAATGACTGTTCTTGGTTCAAGATATTTAATTTATTTCATAACTTTGCCTGTTAACGCAAACAGATATGTTTTTAACAACTATCGATAGTCACTTTGAGAATGATGATTGCACTTATTTTTACATGTTCACATCCTCATAAACAACTTCTAAAATACATAACTTCACATAACAACAATTAGATTTTAAATAGATAAAACTAGTTATCATCTGCACAGTACGTCTCAATGAAGCCCCATTGCATTTATGCGTGAGTGAAAAAAAAATACTCCCCGTATTGAAAATAATATTGCTGTTGTCCTTTTATCTAAAAAATATTCATTGTTATTTTTGATACCTACTTTATAGATTTCAAAGCTTGATCAGGAACATAAGTTATGAAAATCAGATCTTTTGAAGAGGTTTTGACATAGCTGTAAAAAATGTGATATAATGTGTACAATCTAACAGTAAATAAAATTTCAATCTTCTACTATTATTTCTCTGCCTTCCAAGTGGGTAAGGCAGTTTCTACACTGGCAAAAAATAATTTCTATACGTATATGTTTCTTGATAAAGTACATATTCTTCTGTAATCTGTTTTTTGAATATATTTAAGTAAAAAAAAAATTAACAATTAATATTTTAAAACGTAAAAAAAAACATAAACCCTTAATTATTTTATAATATTAAAGATTTATTTGTTTGTTTCAGGTAAGAAATAATCATCACTCAAGGGTAATACTGATTTGCCAGTAAAACAGGTAACGAATACTTACCACCATGTATATATAATCAACATACTACCTATATCTATTAATTATTTAATTAATTTATCATTATTATTACATCATAACTATTCTATTATTAATCTAATTTAAATTTATTAAAATCTAATAAATTATACTTATTATAATTATACTACTTGTTTTTTGTTTCTCCCATTTTGTCCAAATCTTTATTTCAGACTGTCTCCGCCTTCTAATGTTCATTGTTCTTTTTTTTTTTTTTTTTTTTTTAAGGATGAAACTTTATTTGCTATTTTTGTTTGTTAGTTTTTATTTCTATACTGTTGATTCCATTTGTTGTCCCATATCTGTATTCATATTCTTGCTAGGTTTCTGGCTGACCGCTTTTTTAAGGGACCGAAAGGTCTCAGTCCCCTTCTCGATTCTTGGATCATTCTCGACCTGTGTTAGCTATATTAACATTCTTCTTAATCAAATTGCATATTGTTATTTTTATTCCAGAATTGTAATGTTATTCTCGCATTATTTTTATTAATAGCATTCTTTATGTCACTATATCTTAGCGTGTAGCGTTGCTTATTTTGTTCTAATTCTTTTTGTATTTAAAAAAAAATCATATCAGTTATTGTAAACCTTGTTGTTATTTACATATTTTTTTATTTGTAATAGTTATTTAGTTCATTTATTTTTATTTATAAGAAAAAATAATGTACTGTTATGTTTATATAACCGTTCTAATGTTATCTATTAACAAGATACTTGTATCCATATTTTTATCCCTGATATATTTCGATTATAATTTTTAGTCCTGATGATGACCAGCTTGGGTCGGAACGTCAGCAAAATTTACAAACAACATGAATGACAAATCCTGACTATTTTCCATCCTCTTTTAACAGTCAATTATTTCTACATCTTTAAATTATTTAAATTTTTAGATATAAAGTTTTTTTAATATGCCAACAAAATGATATCCTATGTTTTGTGCCTCCGTTTTATAATTTATTACATATTTAATTTTTTTTCTATACTTTTATATTATCTGCTTCATTTAATGTTTATAAATTACCTCCATCATATTGGTGTTTCTTTTTGTCTTTGCATATTTAGTATAATGTTTTTGAATGTATGGGGAGTCTTCAAACTATCCATCAAATTGTAGCGTATTACAATTACAACTCTATGCCTTGAAAAGAGTCTATTTTATAAATTATAAGAGACCTTGGTTTAGGATTGCAGTCATTAAAAGCTCACAAAAAATATTATTGTCTTTGTGCTGTTGTTTTTAAACCAGACGATCTGATTGTCCGTGATGCAGACCCCTTTTTACCGAATTACTAACATCCACTTGAAACTTCGTAAATAGCTTCATCTCAACGTAATCTGAAAGTATTTTATTTACGAAAACTATTGTAAATAGGGCGTTTTCAATCTGGAATGAGACAAACTTTGTCTATTTAATTATGTACTAAAAACTAGTAAATACTGATTTTCTTTCTCCTAGATCGTAACATAATCTAATCACAAAATCGGTAAAAATTGTGGCCTGCAAAAATATTGGGCGGTTTGTCCTATGTAACCTCGTTATTTTTAAAATTTGGGGGTGTAGGTCACGCCAAACGGCTCAATATTTTTGAAGGCCACTATTTTTTATCGATTTTGTGATCAAATTATCTTACGATCCAAATGGAAAGCAAATGGGTATTTACGAGTTATTAGTAGACTCTTCTTCAGTCTCTACTGGATCCCCATCTCAGTGATGCGGCTGTGAGAGAAGCGCTGGGATCTCTTAGAGTCTTGACTTATCTTCCACGCGTGGGGAAAAGGGCACGACTTGGAGCTCCATCGGCTGACTAAATAAGCATAATTTTTTTTTCTTTTTTGTTATTTTTTTTTAATTTGTGTTGTATCATATTTTATTTCATCTGTTTTACTAACCTTTCTTTTTCTTATTTTTGTTATAATTTCTATTATTTTTGTAATTTTATATATTGTTTGAATGAGTTTCCCACATCTCAAATATTCAATTCCCTTGATTGAGGCAAAATGTATTTTGCCTCCAGATTGAAAACGCCCCAATTCCAAGAGTTTTGGTAAATACAATAGTTGTGGGTTACGATGAGATGAAACTATTTAGGAAGTTTCAGGTGGATGTTAATAATTCGATAGAAAGGGGTCTGTGCCACGGATTATGATCAAGACCTGAATCCTGGCCAAAACGTCGGCAAAAAAAAATTTTTTTGTACTTCTAATTATTGCAAACCCCGTTCCACTTCTCTTGTAGGAATCTACAATTTTTCCACCATTACGAGAAACTATTTTTGACTAAATAATAATTTTCTTAGAATTAAGTTTTCAAGCCATAAATATAGTTCACTGATACTATAGTTCAAATATTCGGAAGACTATTACTTAAATCTCGGAATCGCCGTTGCCAAGACAAAGCGGTTTGATCTGGCTCGTTGCCGGCCTAGATTTTGCCGTTGGCGCGAAAGGCCA